GATAAAATGCTTGAAAAGGATGGTGGTGGAGGGGGTGGAGATTTGGTGTCGGGTGGAATTGAAGTTGGAGAGGTGCATTTCTACAAACTTAGGGGTAGTGATCAAAACATACCACGACTTGCGGATGCATTTGAATCGCATGAGAGATTTGGGAGGCAGCCTTGACAGGATATGCGTCACCAGCTCTTCTGACAATTTTGAAAATATTTGATCTGCCATTTTCTGTCTGCACTCTCAATTGGATCTCCTTTTCTCTTCTTCTTCCTCCTCCTCTTTTCTCTATCTCTATTACATGAATATTGTTGTTGCTAAGGCAAAAGTAACGGGGAGAGAAGAATGTGGGTGTAGCGGTGAGAGAGAGGAATATAGGTGTAGCGGGGAGAGAGGAATGTGGGTGGAGTAGACAGTAACTACTTTCCCTTAATTTACTTAAGCAAATTAGTTTTTAATTAATATTATACCTTTAGATTGTGGTGTATTAAGCATAAATATTTTACCCTAATATATATATAGATAAAATATAGATATAACAATGTAACGTTATACTTACAAGAAACTACGGAAATCATGAAGCAAGTAACTTAAGAATTTGGGAATAAGGAATTGGAATTGGAATTAGATCAACTACTTTCATAGATGAGAGTTCCATGGTGAAATCCATAATCAAATATCCTCAAAACTAAGAATTAGATCAACTACTTTCATAGTTAATCTAATTCTTAGTTTTGCGGATATTTGATTATGAATTTCACCATGGAACTCTCATAATTTTTATTTCCGTATGTCTAAATAAACGCAATAGAAATAAGGAATTAGAATAATTTCAATACTCATGTGTTAGTAAACACAAGAGGAAGAAATTGGAATTATCCAATGCCTTCCAATTTCAGTACTGATAAGTAAACATGGATTATTTTTTTGTTAAGATAAATGATAATATCAGCTTTTTATTTATTTATTATAATTAAAGATAAATGAGGTCCAATTGTGTGTCTAGATATAAATAGATAAATGAAGTGAGATGTTACATAACATTCATTGGGATCCAAATCGAAAAAAATAGAAATAAAAATATGAACCGTTAGCGACACTCGATAAAAGGTTATTTAAGTCATTTTGTACATGCATGCAGTTCTGCACCGAAGGATTCGGACATAAATGTCATTTTGACAAAGTTTTCCCAAAAATCGCACCTTTTTTCCACATCTCTCCCTTTCTTCCAATCAAATCATCGGAAAAAAAAAAGTGACTCTCTCTCTCTCTCTCTCTCTCTCTCTCTCTCTCTCTCTCTTAGGGTTTATTTTGGAACAACCAGTGGGAGTTCAATTTCAATGAAGAATCTGTAGATGGACTTCAATGTCAGGTCCTCCCTGCTAGATCCGTCTGTCACTATCTGTGTTTCATCTGTGCATTCTAAGGTACCCAAATATTTCCAATTTCCACTGATTTTTCCATTTCGAAACTTTTTTTTTCTTTTGCAATTTTTATCGTTTTCTGTAGTTGGGGTTTAGCTCAGTTTATCCATTTGGGGCTTCGGTTGACTTCTGTGTGACTTATCTACTGGGATCTTTTGATGGGTTGCGGCTTCTAGAGGAGACAATTTTTTGCACATTTTGTAAAGTTCTTAATTTCTGAAGTTTACTTCACTGTTTAGTGAAGTTGGAAAAATTAGATTATTAGGTGATTTTGGCTTTGATTTGGGTGGTTGGTTTTGGTGAAATGTGGTTTTGAGAAAAAAAGGTATGAACTTCTAAAACTATACTACCAAAAAGAACTCTTTTTATATATGTTCTTTTATGTGCATTCTATTGGTTTTTGTTTTTACTTTCAAAATTGTCTCTAGCTTACTTCGTTTCAGTAGGCCTTGACACAAGGGACTTAAAAAACGTTTAATGCATTCCAACATTATTATTTTATTTTGTATCTGTTTTCAGCACTTATGTTTTAGTGTCATGTGCTGTGTTAACTAATGATCATTCGAATTTTGATGTGTAAATCATTTGAATCAGTTGGTGGAGATATGAGGTGCTTTTAGTACATGTGTGCATGTATGCAATCAAATTCTGACAAGATTTTCTTCAATTGGGTCTTGGGAATGTCACAGCAGAGACTAAAATGAGCCAGACTGAAGTATCGGGAATGAAAGCTCCTCTTGTTCCACTTGCGACTCTGATCGGTCGTGAGCTTAGGAGTGAGAAGGTTGAGAAACCTTATTTGAAGTATGGGCAGGCTGCTGTGGCAAAGAAAGGAGAGGATTGCTTTCTTATAAAAACAGATTGCCAGAGGACTCATTTGAATCCGTCAACATCATTCTCTGTCTTCGCGGTACTCCCCCACCCCTATTTTCCGTCTTTGTAGAACTGATCTCTGGTTGGATTCTTTATATAATTGTATTTTGCCCAGTGGAGTGGAATCTTATTTTTCTTGGGTTTGAAATGGTGTGATAAGAGAGAAATCACAAGTTTATCAACTTTTCTTTCTTGTTGTATATTTGTCAGCAACAAAATGGAGCATGAATTCAATCCCATACTTTCTCTGATACATATTTGAAAATTTTGATCTCCAGATTTTTGATGGGCATAATGGTATATCAGCTGCTATTTTTGCAAAGGAGAATTTATTGGCTAATGTTTTGAGTGCCATTCCTCAAGGAATCAGTAGGGATGAATGGCTTCATGCCCTTCCTCGGGCGCTGGTTGCAGGTTTTGTGAAAACTGATATAGAATTTCAGCAGAAAGGTATACATCAAACCTTTTGTTTTTATTATTACAACATGTCTCTCTTTTCTTTTCGTTTGCTTTTGTTTTTCTGAGCTTTATGGTGTAATATAACCTCAGGGGAAACTTCTGGTACAACTGTGACATTTGTTGTGATTGACGGTTGGACTGTGACTGTCGCATCTGTTGGGGATTCTAGATGCATATTGGACACCCAGGGTGGCGTTGTTTCACTCTTGACTGTTGATCACAGGCTGGAAGAAAATGAAGAAGAGAGGGCGCGTGTCACTGCCAGTGGTGGTGAAGTAGGGAGGCTCAATGTTTTCGGGGGCAGTGAGGTATAGGATAGCTTATTTTGTTTATCCTTCTAACTTGTAAACTGAAAGACATCTCAATGGGAAACATATCTTTGAAGGTCTAAATTTTGTATTTTTACTTGGTTCACAGGTTGGTCCCCTGCGCTGCTGGCCTGGTGGATTATGCCTTTCTAGGTCAATTGGTGACACAGATGTGGGAGAATTCATCGTCCCAATACCCCATGTCAAGCAAGTGAAGGTAACTTCATAGTGCTATTGACAATGGTTCTGTTTACTTTTCTTTCTTTTATTACAACATTTTAATGCTCAATACCTTTTTTCTTTCCTGGTTATGTAGCTTTCAAATGCTGGTGGAAGACTTATAATAGCTTCTGATGGCATCTGGGATGCTTTGTCTTCTGATTTGGCTGCCAAGTCTTGTCGGGGATTGCCTGCAGAGCTTGCTGCAAAGCTGGTCGTTAAGGTAATGCCTGAGATGCAAACTTTATGTACAGGCCAAGAAAATAAGTCTGATTTTACTGATTTAGTCCAATTTTCTTTGTTCTACTTTAGGAGGCTCTGAGGTCAAGGGGTCTCAAGGATGATACAACCTGCCTAGTTGTTGACATAATCCCTTCAGACCACCCTGTCTTGCCTCCAACGCCAATGAAGAAACAAAACATCCTTGCTTCGCTTATCTTTGGGAAGAAAACTCGGAATTCTGTGAGCAAAAGAAATAAGCTTTCTTCTGTTGGAGTTGTGGAGGAGTTGTTTGAAGAAGGTTCAGCAATGCTCGCTGAAAGGTATGTGCAGCATAGTTTATTATGTAATTGATAAGACAGTATTGCTAGCTTGAGTATAGCCTTTATTTCTTTCTTTTCTTGACGGAAATGCAGGTTGGGTAAGGATTCTACTCTGGATGCAAATTCTGGTCTTTTCCGATGTGCAGTCTGCCAAGTGGATCAGCCTCCAGTAGAAGGTTTATCAGTAAATTCTGGGCCTTTTTTCTCTCCAGCATCAAAGCCATGGGAAGGTCTCTTTCTTTGTGCCAAGTGTCGGAACAAGAAAGACGCCATGGAAGGAAAAAGACTGAGCTCACCCACGGTGATCTTGTAGTAATTTAACTGATTGCATATTCTGTTGTATTTTTTCTCTGGCAGTGTGAGCATATGCTTGGTTTTCCTTTTTTAGGTGGTGACTATTATAGATGTGTGTAAGAAATGAAGTTGAGGTATGCAGAGTAAGTAGGTGTTTTGCAGTTTCAAAAGTTTGTGTCGGTTCTGGTTTGTGCTCAGCTGTTGGACTGACTGACTGACTGACTGAGGGCAGAGGTGTTATCATCACTAACAGCTTTAATTTGTAAGTAAATCGAAGGTTTGCGTAATACTTTTGGTGTAGCTGTTCACTTGAGTTCAGTTGGAAATTAGCAACAGCACGCGATCTAACTCTAACTCATTGGTGTTCCCTCTATTTTATTTTGTTAGAACAATTGAATATATAATCTTTTTATTTTGCAATTGTCTACGAAATCTGGTTTGACCCGGTTTGCCACTTCTTCCATATTATTATGCTCTTGTGTGTTACCTAATTCATTCTTTATTATTCCGATAGCATATTACTCTATGTTTAATGAGGAATGTATTTGAAATTGCGTGGAGGCTATAACGAGGAGTTTAAAGTGAGGAGGCTATTTGAGGAGGTCAATCACCATCAACAAATGTAAAGAAATAATGGGACTTAAACTAAGTCGGTGTAACTTTTAAGTAATTTCAGAGGGTGAGATGAGTAATTTGAGGGGTCACAATAGGTGCAGCCCTTCTTAGAAAATAAACCCCCTTTTGCATATATTTATCAAAAATTTATTTTTAATAGAACTAGAATAATGTTGGCACCAATGTCTCTCTTCTGGTTGCTCAAATCGCTGTTATTTCTACAAACAAGCTCCTTCCTAAGCACACAAGAGTTCACAACTATTAAATTCATAATACAAGGCCAGAATTTACTAAACCAACAATCAGAACAAAATTAAACATGAACCACAGAAAGCAGCTGAAGACCAAGAGAAAGAAAACAACTTTGTTACATTAGGTTGCAAAGAAATGCATAGATACTAATAACATTTATTAGATTCTAATCTCCTCTTCCATAAGCACACCCAACAAACTCAACTCGGTTAATTCGGAGGCAGCCATTGCAGCTCAATGCCATAGCTCCATTTCTCAACAGGATCTTCGGGTCGAATATCAACCACAGAAGTATAAGCAGTGCAGCCTCCAACCCTAACCCTAATCACATATGAAGTCATATGTGAATCTTTCAAGTAATGGCAGCAGAGGCCACCTTTGCATGCATTGTTTTTTCCCTCCAACATTTTGTCCTGAAAAACCCTACAGAGGCTATTTGAGGTACAGTTGAGTGGAGATCGAAGCAGATTGTCAGAGCAATTGAGCAAGATGACTGTGTTGCGAGTGGACACATTGAAGGGCAAGTGTTCATCAAGCCTCAAGCCTTGAAGAGAGAAATCAGAAGTTTGACACGTGTCACCATCTTGTACCAGATCAGGTGGGCTTATGATGAGCCTCTGAGCACTTGGGTCAATGCTGAGGATCTTGTAGTAAAACCCTTCAGCTGACTTGAACTCAAGAATGCTATTGCCATTGTTGCTGTTGTTGCAGTAGATTTTGTACCTTGAGTCTCCGCACGTGTCATCTGTGCTGAAAGGGTATGGAACTTCCACATTGCCACATTTTGGGCAAGATCCAAGGGCTGACACATGGCCAGTTTTGATGATATTCATGAGCATGAGCACAAAAAATGTCGAAACCATCTTGACTTTAGCAGAGAGTCAGAGACAGAGAAAGCAAGAAATGCTTAGAGCTAAGTACCTATTTATACAAAAAAAACCACAGAATTAGTTAATCAATATGGGAACTTACAGAGTGTTGCTATTTCCACTTCCTGTCATATTTATCCGCTCACCTTATCTTCCCATCCACCATATAAATTTGAAAAAACACAATCCTATCTTTCCACCCACCATTATTCTTAAAATACCCTTTAATTATTAATTCAAGCAAATTTTTTTGCTAATTATTAGTAGTTGCGATATGAAGAGGATCAAGCAAATTCTCTTTCTTAAAATAAAAAAAATAAAAAAGAAGTAAATAATCTAATTAAAATAGAAAAAATATTAAAAGATAAAGATTTATTTTAAATATATTTACCCTTGCACTTGATATCCTCGATTCGATTCTCCCCTCTTCCAATATTGCTTGTATAAAAAAAACATATAGTAGAACGTTGGTATGAAAATGAAGTTCCTTTTTTGTGAATGAATAATAATAATCAACAAAGGTGTGGCCAACAGCTGTTAGTGTATAAGATTTGGACGGAGAGATTAAGAAATGACAATGAATATACAAATCTTAATTACCCAAAAGAATTATATTATTAAGTTTATTGGCAGCCATGAAAGATGGAGCTAATTAGCTGGTTTTCACCCATTGGAATCTCATATATTGTATTGTATTATTGTATCTAGATTTGCTCCACCATGCCATTTGCATTCATCAACCAGAGAGGAAAGAGCCAAGTGTCAAGTAATATGGAAAGCAAAGAAAGAGAGAAGGCAAGGTTAAGATCAAATTAGATTAATTGATCTCCAAGCCAACTCGTGGTGAGGAACAATTGGGTTAGCATATCCCACTTTCGATTTTGAAGGAAGTTTCTAGGTTTCATTTGCCTTTCGAGGGGGCAGTGGGGCACTCATTTCCCAAAGTGGCCGAAGTTCTAATAGTATAAAGAAACGTACATTTTGGGATAAAGCAAAGCACAAAGTTCTAATAGTATAATGCTATTTTGAGAAATTTATAATTAAGAACATAAAGTAGCACACAAGGTAGACAAATATGTAAGCCATGACCCCTATCTTACATCAATTTATTGGTCCACATTTAAAGCCAATTTAATAAGAACCGAAAATATTTTCACTCACTGCTTTAACCCAAAATATACCCTTACTATATACTATGGTTCTTGACGGCCATGTGTCGTCCTATAAAGTTGCTAGATGCAGTAGTCTGCTGCAAATTATATCTTATATTGTAAAGAGATCAAGCCAACGTTACGATCATTTGTCTTAAGGAAAAAGTGGTTTATTCCCAGCCCCCACCAAACCAACCACAAACCACTCTGGTTAATTAACTGTTGAACACTAAACACCTATGAATAAAATTTGAAACAGGGCAGGCACAAGGAAACCACTTTTAATTTGAAGACAATCAACATATGATTAATAATACTAAAGGAAATAATGACTTCATTTTATAGGATTAAGAACATCAAATAGTCTTTACACATTGATCTCAGTTGTTAAGCACCCCCCCTTCTCCAGAAGAGAGGGAAGGGTAAATGACTTCATTCACTGGGGAAAGAAAGAGAAGAATGAAAACTGGGTGATATATCAACACATTGAAAAACAAAACTCAAGCATTTTTCTTTGCTAGATTATAACTTACAACCAGACAAGAAAATATAGCATATGCTTCCTACAAAAGTGGCTTGAGCTACTCTTCCTTTCCAGGGCTAAGTGTTTTCCATGATGTGCCAATCAACTGTTCGCTAAACCAATTCTTCTCCTGCAAGTAACAAATGAGCACATTGATCAAAACATAAATGTCAAAAAAGGAAATGGTATAAACTCAAACAACTAAGGTGTTTTTGTCTGAAATACTTTGTGCAGCACAGAGGTAACGATGGTATTGCATGTAATGTTAGTTTCGTATGGAAGTCTCACGATTGGGATAGCAAGGGAGTACATTACTATTTACTAAGGGGTCATGTCATTAGCTGCAGATACTATAAAAAGTAGAAGGAAGGAACTTACGCAGATCATCCAAGGATATACTGCTGATGCTTTCTCCAGTCTTTATAAGACGAATCTTCCCTGCAGGGTAAATCACACTATATAAGTAGTTTCACGTTATCATTATAGCAAGACAATCGTTGAACAAAATACCATGAACATGACAGAGTTCTATTTTCTTTTCTTCTTTTTGAAGGGTTGGAGGGATGGGGTGGTCCTTTCAAGGCATACTAAATATTGATATTTATCCTTTCAACTTGTATTCGCCTTGTCGGCACTTTTTCTACTGATGCAGAACAGGGTCACAAATATGAATCTTCATTCCCATGTTTATTCACCCATCAACAAAACCTTTAAATCTATGAAATTCAGACATGACAATGTTCTATGCTAAATTAATGTATCCTCCCAAGTTATCTCATAGCAACAGAACATTGGAACATAAATATTAACGAAGCAAAGTCATGTAATATACACAAGTCAATCCAAAAACACTGCAGAATGAAAAATTACGACTTAAAAAATAAACATTTAGAACAAAGTCAAACTGTAATGCTGGTATTTATACCATCGTAACGAACACATATCTCTGGAATATTCTTAACTTCACCATTGATGCTGTCATTGTAAACTCTGGTTTCAATGTCACCCTCCACATAAATTGATGAACTGCAGTTAACCTTCAACCATTAGAGAGACAATATACAGAAACTTCACTCATCCTAAAAAATGGACACATACTTCTTAAAAAGTTGTTTAACCGCATAAGCCCCAAGTGCTTCATTATGCACAGCAATTCGATGCCATTGAGCGGGTCTTGGCAAGTCCTTTGCACCCTCTATTCTTTGGTCATACATGCCCCCGGTCCCAACTGTGAAGATGGTTACAGTCCGGCCATTCCTCAAGATCTTCTGCACAGGGGCTTGCCCAACTTTACCGCAGATAATTGCCTGTATAAATTAAGCATAGCCTAGCATAAACATATGACAAAACATATGGAAGAAGGATATCCCTACACAACTGATTGATTGCTGATTTTAAAAAAAAATAGAGGAAAGATTACTCGCTCTGGTGATTTATGTTGTTTCCGTGTACTAACATCCCTAATGGAACCAACAGGTTTTGTTAGGCTTATATATGTACAACAATACATGATGCACTTGCATTTGTAATTTTGTTATGTGAAGGTACATTTACACACATGAAAACTCTAACATCCAAATGGGTAAAAGTTACAACTTTTGTTCTATTGAAACTACATATGAAATACCTTGTGCACACCGCGAAATCCCCAGCCCCTCCTGGGATCCACACCTTGGGCTTGAAAATGCGAATCTTTCTTCTCACCCAAAATTTCGTCAAAATCATCTTTTGCCTCAGTTTTCTTTGTCTCATCATTGCTAATGTCAGATGAGGTGCTGGAGCACCACAACTTTGAGCTTCTTTGCACACTCACTGCTGTAATAAAGGTCAAAAATCAACATAAAAATGGCACACTAAATTTCATTGTTCAGATTCTTGGCATGCCCATCACTATTTGAGAAAATTGTTCTAAGAAATAACATGTAAACCATGCTGAATTCTATGCAACCTGTTATCCAAAAAGCCTTTTCTGGACTAAACCCATATCTGGAATTTAAAAGTTCAACTGACCGACGAGATCATTTAATTTTGTAGAAACTTGAATGTGTGGTTCCATTTAAAAGGCGTTTGAACTCAACCCATGAAAAAAACAACAATGTTAAACCGAATGAGATATCAGAAATGAGCACCGCAAATAACACATTCATGTCATACGTACAAAAACAAAATAAATTTATGGAGGAGAGAGACAGAGAGAGAACCAAGTGTTGGGTTGGGCGAGGAAGGAATAGAGACTCTCATAAACTTGGCAAATTTCACAGCGAACGAACTCATTTTCAGCTGAAAAATCAGTAAGTCTAGGTAAAGCGAATTGGTAAAGACTGGGGATGGGAGGGTTCAAGGAGGGTTTAGCTGTTAGGAGGCGAAAAAGAGAGGAAGGTGCGAGGTCGGGTTAACTATAAAATTTAAAATAAAAAAGGAAAAGAAAAAGTTGCAATCCCTAATTTTGTAAACTGAATTTGCTCTTGAATTTTTTTTCTTCTTTAAAACCTATATGTATGTATTTTTATTTTTTGAGAAAAAAGAAACCTTTTTCATCACCCCATCCTTACCAAACTCTTCCGTTTCCCTTATAAAAAATAAAAAGTAAAAATAATTAACATGGAAAACATTATTTTTTAAATATTTTTTATTTACGAATGCAATATTTTAAACTACATTAATGTATATATCTAAAAAAACTACATTAATGTAAGAGGAGGGAATTTGAACTTAAGTGCAATGGAGAGGACCCACTGCCTTAATCAACTTAACCTATATTTGCAATGAGGATAACATGATTTGTTAACACAAAGACTAAATGCGGTGGGTCAATATCAAGCACTGCTTTAATCCACTGACTTAACCTATATTTGCAATGAGGATACCATGATTTGTTAACACAAATACTAAATGCGGTGGGTCAATATCAAACACAAGTAACCTGTTTGTACACAATAAATTTGTTTAACTAGTAATTTTTGAAAATTATTTGCTTTTCTTAGCATGCTTTATATGAGTCATTGAATTATTGGATGATTACTTTTGTGGTGTTCTAGTATCATGATCAAATAGATCTTCATTTCGTAATTAACCTACAAGTGAGCTTTCAAGGCTCGTTGGCAGGCACGTATCAGATTGAGTTCCAAGGATGGGAGAGAGATGAATTGTTCTTAATTTTAGTTTTCATATTTCTAAAGGGCAAAAATAATAGTTCCAAGAAAGAAAAAAATACAAATCTTTTGAAGTGTCCTCATAAAATTGAAAAAATAAACCTTTTGAAGCCCTCAGATTTGCAGTTGGAATCAAACTACTCTTATAAACGTTGAAACACAAAAGCTATTCAT